CTCCCCCCCATAACCACCCCCGCCTCTGCAGGCCTCCTGCTGTGCTCACCCATAGGTCAGTTTCACTCCTTCCTCACTCTTAAACTTGGACTTCTCCACCTCCGGGTAGACCAGCTTGGAGAGGGCCAAAGCACAAGGGGCAGCCATCACGGACGCAGCAATCAATGAGGCGGCATCGATCTGCAAGAGTGAGAGTGGGGGTGATAGGCAGATGGTCAAAGAAATGTTGGGGGCCAAGGACTGAGGCCCAAGGTGGCAGGGGAAGATGTGTAGTCTCCCTACTGGTATGTCCTTGTTGTCATTACTACTGGCTGTCATCATTGCTAATAACAATATCTTTTATGCATAGAGGGTCACAGGCTGTATGTGCAGGACTCGTATTTCCTCCTAGTACTTCCCTAAATTAGGTGGTGCAAGTGCTGTTATCCACATTTTACAGATGAGAAAACTGAGGCTCGAACCAATTACATATGACTTGCCCAAAATAAAAGGATATGGTGTTAGAACCCATCACATCTTTTGACTCCAAGTTCGAGGTTCTTCCTTCTTTTTTAGGAAGTTTTTTAGCTGTCTGTGTTTGACCACTAATCCCCATTAGCTGGGTTTTTCTCTTAGTTGAGGTTTTTGTGGTGGTTTCCAATAAAGCTCCAGAACTGATAGTTGAGATGGATTTAAGAGGTAACCCTATTCAACCTTGGCATAAGGCATGTCCTAGTTCAGGAATGGTACTTCCTCTATAGGATCTTGCTTTGAATGTTCCATGTAACGGGGAACTCACCACCACAAGGCCGTCCATCACACTGCTCCTGTAGTTAGAGAACTGATTCTCAGGAAATCTGCCACCTACAACAACCATCTTCTGGCGCTGGTCAGCCTCTGGGACCACCCCCGCATTCTCGCTCCTGAACTTTTATCCTCATCTGTGACCCCAAGCCCTTTGCTTCCCTGTTCTCTTCCACAGAGGTAGACGCGGCACTTTAACTTTCCCCACCATTGTTTCATTTACTGAGTGGGGAAATTTGAACCAACTCAAACATCTAACAACAGGACACGGCTACACGCTGTCAGGCTGCTACTGACAATGATGGTTCTCAAAGCCTCGTGATAACATGGGCAACTGCCCGTACAATTGCACACAGAGAATAACCAAGATGATGGGGGAGAAAACAAACCCCAAATGATGTAAGGAAAGAAGATCAGAAAGAATACACTGGAATGTCAACAAACTAGCTCTTCCTGGTAACAGGGCAAAGGGTGATTTTCTTTCTATTCTTTCTGCTTCTCGATATCTTTCAAAATATCCACAATATCATTTTTATGACAGTAAAATAGACTTGTTCTCCTTAAAGTTTTTAATAAGCCAGCCTCATTCTCCAATTTTAAATAAAAAGGTGAAGAAGGAGGAGGCAAGTTGAAGTTCATGCTCAGGCTGATAAAAGCAAAGCAGAAGCCCGAGAGACATCCCAGTATAACCCCAGGAAAGTACCAGGACATGCCAATGAGAAGCCAGGCGGGAAATCCTTCTAGGCTCAGAAACCTATGGAATGTCCTTCTTCTTTTTCTTAACTCCAGTTGTTCTTTTCAGGGATAAACAGAAATTCCTTAAAACATGCACAAGAACCAGCGACAGCCTGATAAGTGTGCAGGCCCCAGGTCCTGCTCCCTGTTGGATGAAGCCCAGCTGGGCCGGTGTCCTGTCTGCACTGTCTGGGCTGGGCTTTGGGACTTCACCTCCCTCCTACTCGGTTGCCCACCTCCAGTGGGGACAGTGCCGCACTTGGAATCTTGGGATTTTCCCAAGGACGCTGCCAGGACGCTGCCCCTTCCTCCAGCTTGTAGATTACATCTGGTTTGTAAACTTGAGTCCCAGCGTGGAACATACTCTGCAGTTGTCACATTCCTGGACACTGTCCTCTGAGTGTGCGAGTAGTGGCCACAGCCTCAAATGCTGCAGCTGGTGGTTTCCTGACCCTGTGGAAAGGACTGAGTACTGCACAGGCAGGGCGCCTGGGAGCTGGGTCCACCCACCCAGCCTCCACTCTGCAAGGTCGTGACATCCCCCAGCTCTGCCTCCAGGCATCCAGTCAGGAAGGTCTTCTGTCCTGGCACCCCAGGGCTCCTCCTGCCACGGCCCTCCTTTCTTGACCCAGTGGTGTCCCATGTGGAGAGGGATCAAGGGTAAATTCAAGTGCCCCACTTGAATTTTCAAAAGGATCTCTGCTAAGAAAGGGAGTAAATCCAGACAACTACATAGCATTAAATGAGCAATTTCAGAAGGACAGATTTTTGACCACAACATGTCAGGAAAGAACTTCCACTCCTTTACCTCCTCCACACTAGGCATCCTCTGCATATTGCTGCATTTAATTCCCACCCCACCGTGCAGTGCTCAGTGACTCTACCCGTTGTACAGATGGGGACACTAAGTGGTGGACTCTCACTCGGCCCTGAACCGGGTCTCACAGGCCCTGTGCACATTCGTGGAGGAACATAGGTGGCCAAGTCCTTAGTGTCACCCTGCCCAGCCTGTGTTCACAGCTTGAGGCTCAAATCTGGGTCTCCTCTCAGGGGTCCCTGGGCCAGTAGAGGCACCAGTCTTGAGGGCCTACCAGGGGAGCTGTTGCCTACTTTGGAGCCTTAGGGAAGGACGGTGTGGGTGCAGCTGTGTGTGGCAGCTGCAATGAAAAGATTCAGCTGTGACCCCTGGAGCCATGGACCTGGGGGAGGCCTACACCAGCATTGCCCAATACAGATATTATGGGAACCACATCTTAAAACATAAAAAGCAACAGAAGAAATTATTTATTTGTTTTTCTTGAGACAGGTCTCACTCTGTCACCCTGGTTAGAGTGCATGGCATCATCATAGCTCACTGCAACCTCAAACTCCTGGGCTCAAGGGTTCCTCCTGCCTCAGCCTCCTGAGTAGCTGGTTCTACAGGCTCGAGCCACCATGCCTGGATAATTTTTCTATTTTTTGTAGACACGGGGTCTCTCTATGTTGCTCAGGCTCATCTCAAACTTCTGGCCTCGAGCAATCCTCCCACCTCAGCCTCCCAAAGTGCTAGGATTATAGGTGTGAGCCACTGTACCCAGCCTATTAACTTTAATAATGTTTTATTTATCCCAATATATCCAAAATCTTTTCTTTTCACTCGTGCAATGAATATAAAAGTATTAATAAAATCTCAATCTTTTTCCTGTACTGAGTCTCACTGCATTTCACATTTCAAATATTCAACAGCCACATGTGGTCAGTGGCTACTGTGCTGGACAGCGCAGGTCTAGAAATGCCAGCTACTCTGCAAGGCCGTGACTCTGCAAGGCCCCCAGCTCTGCCTCCAGGCATCCAGTCAGGAATGCCTTCTGTCCTGGCACCCCAGGGCTCCTCCTGCCACGGCCCTCCTCTCTTGACCCAATGGTGTCCCATGTGGAGAGGGATCAAGGGTAAATTCAAGTGCCCCACTTGAATTTTCAAAAGGATCTCTGCTGAGAAAGGGAGTAAATCCAGACAATAGGAGGGGTGCGGGGCAAAGGGAGCCAGAGGTTGTACGATAAAGTGGAAGGTCTTAAGAATCTGGGAGCTTGGAGGAGAGAGCACGAGGGACTCTCTGGGATTCAGGGGCTGAGGGCAGAGCCAAGGACACTGAGGACCTGACTGGGCAGGAGTTAAAGGACAGAGGGGAGAGGGTGGGAAGGCAGGGTGCTGCAGTGGCGGACAAGAGCCAGGTGGGGGCAGAAGAGAGCTTCTCTGGAGACTAGACTAGGGGCAGATCCAGAGGCAGGAGGGGAGGAGGGGAGGAAGACCTGTTCCAGGCTCTCCCCCTGGGCCAGCTATGTTGTAGCCTGGGGCTTCCAAACCAGAGGCTGTGAGTGCAGGCCCAAGGGCACACAACTGACCCTGGCCACCTCTGCACATTCCCTGCAGCTAAAGGGAAGTAGGTTCCCAGGCTCTGTCCCTGGGGAGGCCAGATTGCCCAGGGCTGGGCCTGCACTCTGGCTTGAGAAAGGGAAGGAAGGAGGCTGGGTATAAAGCCAGAGCATAGAAAGGGAGAATGTTCTTCCAGTATTTCGGTTTTAAGTAATGGCTAGGAGCCCCGGCAACACTTTTGCACTAGGAAGAACACCAGAGGTATTCTTTTCCTAACTATAGGGTACAAAACAAAGATAAGACATTTAAAGGCCCTATGTTCCAAAAATATTATGGCATCACCTTCCTCAATATTCTACCATGAAAAAAATCTCAGCAACAAACTTTTGGGTTTCCATTTTTGAAACACAAAATTCCTTCCAAACACAACTGGCAATGGGTGGGTGTGGACTACATGAGCTCTGAGGAGCCCTTACCAGGCCTCAGTGAGACAAGGTGCAAACCAGATGGCAGTCTTGCATTCTGGGCCAGAAACCAGAGTCCCAGCTTGCAAGGGGCCCTTCTCGAAAAGTTGCATAGCTGCCAGCTCTGCCCAGGCAGCTCTGTGGGGAGTGGAGCTGAGCGTCTTGGTGACCCAGGAAAAGAGATGAGAGAGACATGTGGAATTTGGGACAGGAGAAGGGGACAGTGCAGGTCATTCTGTGGTCCCCCCACCCACACACACAGCATCAGGAGAGCCTGGGGGACAGGCACAGGCAGGTCAGGGTGTCTCTCCAAACCAGGTGCCCTCGCTCCAGGGCACAGTGGCATTGCCACACATGGAGTAACTCACCCAGCTCATCCCCACCTGCAGGACATTCTGGCTTTCCTTTGTTCACAGTTGTAAATAATGTCAAAATTTTACATTGTTGGAACACTTATGAGAATATTTTTGTATCATAATATTCCTAACTGGACCAAAGGGAAGAACTATTTTTAAATTGACTCATACATGTATAAAAAATAAACTATAACTTAAAAAGTTTTTAAAAACTGACTGACAGATGTTCTCCAAAAAGTTTACAGCAAATTAAACTCACACCATGAATGAGTGACTACCCTAGCCCCTGGCCATTTAGAGGCACATAGAGTATTGCATATCATTTAGAAGAAACATTATTGTTTTAATTTCTTTGAACATCAGTGAGCTTAAATATGTTTTCATAATTTATGAACTATTTTCTCCAGATAAATAATTTTATTTATTTATTTTTTTTGAGACAGAGTCTAACTCTCTTACCCAGGCTACAGTGCTGTAGGGTCAGCCTAGTTCACAGCAACCTTAAGCTCCTGGGCTCAAGCGATCCTCCTGCCTCAACCTCCCAAGTAGCTGGGACTACAGGCATGCGCCACCATGCCCGGCTAATTTTTTCTACATATTTTCAGTTGGCCAATTTATTTCTTTCTATTTTTAGTAGAGATGGGGTCTTACTCTTGCTCTGGCTGGTTTCGAACTCCTGACCTTGAGCGATCCACCCGCCTCGGCCTCCCAGAGTGCTAGGATTACAGGCCTGAGCCACCGTGCTTGGCCTTTTAAATAATTTTTTAAATAGTGACTTTCACCAACAGAACATTGTTCATTTACATTAGTCAGCTCTGTCAACTGTCTCTTTTGTCCCTCTGGATTTTGTGTATTGTGCAGATGTTACAAGAAAAAAAGCAAGTTGCAGAAAAGTATGGGTGGAATTACCTCATCTTTTATCAAAAAGAAAGCAAGTGTGTGTGTTCAGGTGTATGTACTTAAATGGATACACAGAAAGCTCTGGAAGGACATATTTTAAGTCAGTGGGTTGCAAATGGAGCAACCATCAGCATGCTAGGCCCCAACCTCCTGTTTCTGATTGTGCAGGTCTGGGGTGGGCTGAGACTTTTCATTTCTGGCAAGTTCTCAGGTGAGCCGATGGTGCTGGTCCACGGACCACACTTTGAGAACCACTGTTCTAAGCTCTTAAAAGCAGTTACCCGTGGGAAGTGGGGTTAAGAAACAGATTCTTAACTGTCACTTTTGCAACAACTGAAAATTTCTTTGTCAGTTAAGGAAAAAACCCACCGTCTCTGAGGATTTGCAAGTGGGAGCACAAGGAAGTATAAGGCACCAGGGATCCATCAGCAGGTTCCTCTGCCTGCGGCACAGGAGGAGGACCACAACTGGTCTAAGGCCCAGGTGACGCTACTGTTATTTGACTAGAAGTGCATGCGATCAGGAGCTGCACAAGCAACAATTTAGGAACAGAGGAAGCACTTGAGCCCAGAGAGTGTGGGGTAGCGGGGAGGGAAGGAGTAGGGCAGCTCTCCAGGGACAGCCTGGATGTGGGACTGTGGAGAAGTGAGCAGGAGTTTTGTGGTCAGACAGATCTGGGCTCAGATCCTAACATTGGGTTTCTAATTTATTCTCTATGCCTCAATTTCCTCATATGTGAAATAGGGATATTACAGCAACTAGCACATCACTTGATATGTAGGTAGCAGGCACTCCATATGTGAATATTGGCAATCTTTGTCTCCAGTGGCCATGGGAGAATTCTGAGCCAATGGCGCAGCCCACAGGGCCTGCCTTGCCCAGGGGATGCCTCTCCTCTCCCCAGCACAGCAGCCCAGGCTCCAGGCTCAGAGAGACCCCAGGGCTGCTCTGGAGGCACCCACAAAGGTGGGTTTCAGGTCCTGGGCACAGCCAAACAGAAGGAGCCTCTACCTACCCCAAAGGAAATATAGACGCCCAGCAGGCTGCCAGCAATGGTGGAGTAGCCTCCGGTGAGAACGACGTGGATTTCAGAGAGTGTCATGTCCGCCAAGTACGGCCGGATCAGTAGAGGAGCCTCTGTCTGCAAAGAGGAAATATGTCAGATACGCGGAGCTGGAGTGGTTGGGCACTCCCTCCACCTCTCCTTGTCCCAGGAGTGGACAAGTCACAGTGACACTGTGCCAAAGGCCTGCCATGTGCCAGCACTCACTAAGCACCTTACTGCCATCACTCACAACCTTTTGAGACAGCAACTGTCATCCCCACTTTTCAGCCAAGCAACCAGAGGCTCAGAGAGGCTCAGGGATTGAGCCTTACTCCACACAGGGGTGGGAAGCAGCTGCCAGGCCTGAGCTGTAAGGAAGTCCTGGGGGTGGTCAAAAAGAGAGGGGCTGGGACGTTAGATGGTGTGCTCACTTCAGAGCACCGGGCAGCTGGGCCTTCACTATTCATTCAATACATAGTTATTGAGCACCTACTGTGTTCCAGGCCCTGCTCCTCAGAAAAGGGGTACCAGGTAAACAAGACAAAGTCCCTGCCCTGTGCAGTTTCTAGCCTGGGAGTTAAGGAGAGTGGGAGGGGGCTTAAGAAGGTGGTGGGGGACATGGTTCATCAGCAAAGGACCAAGAGGATAAGCGGTGGCACTTTAGACGGTGATATTAATAAAAGCTATGAAGATATGAGAGAGAACACCTAGTGCTTCAGGGGCATTTAAAATTGAGTAATCAGCAAAGGTCTCTGGTGAGGTGACCCTGGGTCTAGGTTAGCTGAGAGCTGAAGGAGCCAACCGCAGGATTTGGGAGCACAGCACCCAGGCAGAGCAAAGAGCAGAGGCCCAGGGCAGGAATGGGCCCGGTGAGGTGAGGAAGCACAGCAGGCCCACATGTCTGGTCTGTCACAGACACACAGGTGACTGGGCGCTGGTTCCCATGGAGGCAGAGGAGGGCAGAGCCTGGACAGGGCTGGGAAGCAGGTGAGGAGTGCGCTGGTTCTAGTGGGGAGTGGTGCCATGTGCTTTGTGCTTTGAAGGGTCAGGACAGACAGCAGGGGTGGGAATGGAAGCAGGGAGAACAGGGAGGAGGGTAGCAGGGTGGCTGTGGATCCCACCTGGAGGCAGCACTGCAGGACTCATGTGATGCATGGAGCCAGGGAGGCAGAGGAAGGAAGGCGGCTGTTTGAGGTCTGTCTGAACAACTGCATGGAAGGTGCTAGCATTTACTGAGAAGGGAAAGACTTGGAGAGGTGCAGGTGTGAGGAGAGAAGGAAGGTTCTGTCTGCTTGGACACACGCACCTGAACACACACACCTGAACACACACACGTGACCCTGTCAAAAGTAACCCTGTCAAATGTGAGATGCCCCTTAGCTATCTGAGAGTAGGGGCAGGAGCCAGGTGGCCACCTTAGTGGAGAGTTCAGGACAGGGGTGAGGACTGCAGAGCAGGAGTATGAGCTGTGACACTGGGGCAGTGCAGCCCAGAGAGGGGGTGCGTGGGAGGACGGCAGACCTGGCCTCAGCTTTTGAGATTCAAATGATGCCACTGATCCAGGAAGGCTCCCCAGGGTGTCCCCCTGGGGGATGCAGTGAAGACCCAGGGTCTAGGTCAGCCTGTCCAACAGCTTGTGCTGAGTTAGGTTACTTTGGGGGGTCTTCACGTCACCCAGAGTAACATTCACCTATTTTCTCAGCAAAAACCAGTGAGCACATTGCAGCTTTTCACACAAAATAAGTGCTGTCATATTTTAATATCCCTTTCTTTTGCTTAAGGGAGTTTTGGGTAATTAATCTGAGAGCACATCTGTCTTAATTAGCTAAAAATAAAAACAAAAACACCAAAAACCATCTGAAATTAACATACTTGCATTGTAACAAAAAAGATGCAAATGGGTGGCTGCAGTGACTCACGGGTACCGTCTCAGCACTTTGGGAGGCAAAGATGGGAGGATCACTGGAGGCCAGGAGTTCAAGATCAGACTAGGCAACAGAGTAAGACTCCATCTCTACAAAAAATAAAACTAGAAAAATTAGCTGGGTATGGTGGTGCCTCCCTGTAGTCCCAGCTATTTGGGAGGCTGAGACAGGAGGATGGCTTCGGCCCAGGAGTTCAAGGCTAGGCCGAAGCCCAGCTATGATGGCCCATCTATGAAGCCCAGTGAGCTATGATGACACCACTGCATTCAGGCCTCAGTGACAGAGTGGGATCCTATCTCTAAAACAAAAGCAACAAAAAAAATTAATTTCAAAAAACATGCAAATATTCTCAAAAGTTTCCTAAACTGTCCAGTCAAATATGACATCTTGTGACAAGAGTGTCCCCTGGTGACTCGAACTTGAGGGAGACAGGCCAGGACAGATGCTGGAACAGTCTGCAGACCTCACACTCAGAGGGTCAGGCTTTCTGAAAGGGACTCAGGACTCAAGGTGTCTTCCGAGTCATATTTACTTTGGAAAATACATATTCAGAGAGACAGAGAAAAGACACGACAAGATGATGCAGTAGAACAAACTCTGGCCAGGAAAGAGAAAACTGGGACTCGAAGCCCTGGCTCGTGGTTGTGGGATCTTGGCCAAGTCATTCCCAACTCAGAGCCTCAGTTTCCCCATTTATAAAATGAGCGATGGGACTACATCTGTAAGCTTGTGAGTCTCTAAGCTGATGAGGCAGCTAGAATGGTAGGAGGTGACAGACAGAGGGCGTCCTACCTGGCATGACCAAGGCAAAAGGGGCCCTCAAATGGAGCATCCCTGGTACACCAGCCTTTGGGGACCCTGGTAGAAAGTTCAACTGGCTCTTCCTTGAACAGAACCAGAGCTCTGGGAACCCAGGGAACCCGCCCTCTCTGGGGAAGCTGCTGACAAGCACATGGGCAGGAAGCTGCGGTACGCACCTGGCTCACAAAGATGTTTCCAGCCACACTCAGGGTCTCAGTGGCAGTGGTACCCATGGTGACCTGCATCAGCCAGGCAATCTGGAAGCAAACAAGGTGCTCTTTGTGGGCTGACATCAGCAAACCCCAGAGTTAGAGACAGTCAGGTGGAAGAACCTGACTCGTTTTCCTTCCAACTCCCAGGCTAGTGTGGGACCCCCTGCCACATGTCCCCAGAAGGCCCATTCATCCTCTCCTTCCACACCTGCATTGAGGGGGGTTTCCACTTCCCAAGCCACCCAGTCTACCTTAGCACAGCTCCAGTCATTAGAGCAGAGCTTCTACCATGTGTGCTTTCTGTCTCCATGCAAAAAGCATTCCCTGGCCAAATACATTTGAAAATTCAGAATTGCCTTACACACACACATGCACACACACACACACACACACACACACACACACACACACAGACACAAACATGCACACACAACATGCACACACACACACAGACACAAACATACAAGATGAAATCTGCTCCATTGGAATTTCTCTCTCATGTTGTACTTCTTAGGCTGCCTTTTTCCTAATTTCTCCTTGTCAGTATTTAGACACAGCCGTCCTACAACACCTTCCTCCTCTCCAGGCCCTTCAGTCCTGTTCCTTCAGCCACTCTGTGGCTGAAGCCAGGAGCAAACCTATTCATGCTCCTCCTTAGAGTTCAGTTTGTCACAGCCCCTTGGTGGAATATGTTCTCCAGATCTGGGCACGGCCACTTCCCTCATGCTATGCAGTGTGTGCTCCTAACATAACTGCTATGGTTTGAATGTCCCCACCAAAACTCATGTTGACATCTGACTGCCATAGTAACGGTGTAGAGAGGTATGACCTTCAGGAGGCGACTGGGTCATGAGGGCTGTGCTCTGGTGAATGGATCGATGCCACTGTTGGGGCTGGGCTGGTTATCACAGGACTGGGGGCTCCTGGAGAAAAGGATCAGTGTGGCTTCAATTCTCTCTGTGTCTTGCTGCTCACTCCGCCTCCCACCACGTCAGGGCGACCAAGGAGGCCCTGGACACATGCCAGCGCCGTGTTCTGGGCCTGCCCAGCCTCCAGAACCAGGAGCCACAGAAATCTCTTATTTTGTATAAAGTACCCTGTCTGTGGGAGTCTGTGTTAGCAACAGGAAAGGAACTAAGACAGTGACAATGACCAAGGCTGTATTTGAATTCCTGGGAGTCATCTGATGGTGCTCATTTGTTCTGAGCTTGATCAGCTGCCACCTCAGCATCATTTGCCAGGCCCAGTGACATCCAGTGCTGTCTCCTACATGCTGGTTTTGCACAGTAGACTTTACAACATAAGCACAGATGTGACATTTGTACAGGCTCCTTCTAGCCAGTGCAGCCCACTGCTACAGTCTCTCAAGATCTTTCTGGTATAAATTATTCTTTCTCTTAAACCTTCTCAGTGCAGCCTCAAGACTGCAACCTTTCCTCCCACAAAGCCCACACTGGATTTCAGTACCATTTCTCCTTAGTGTCATGACAAAAGACCCTGTAAAAGGGAGTTTGGTTAGCAGGAGATTGAGGAAAAGTGTAGGCCTCGGAGCAGGGTATGTGGGGAAGGGCTAGGCTCTGGAAGCAAGGCATTCTGGGACAGAGTGACCCCTGGAGCTGGTGACTCTGGGAGAGCCAGGGTCATGGGCACTGGGACTCACCTTCAGGATCACCCACTGCATGAGGCCCAAGTAGTAGAGAACAGACATGACACAGCTGAAGAAAACAATGATGGGCAGAACCTGGGGGAAAGAGAGTGCAGGACCCCGGTCAGAGGCAGGCAGGGCCCAGGAGCCCCAGAGAGCCCACACAGAGGCCTCACAGGAGCAAGGAGGCAGCCTGAATTCAGTGCATGAAATCCCAGCTATTCCACTGATGGGGCCTCTCTGAGGCAATTCCGCCCTCTCTGTTCCCCTACCAGTAATGACCAGGCCATCCCTGCCCCTATTCACCACACACAGTCCTGCGCCATGATGGGAGGGGCCTGAGGCACCACTGTCACCCCTGCTTCTCTGTCTGTAAATGGGGTAACATGCTCCCCTCTCAGGGCTGCTGTGAGGGTTGCACTGTCTGTCCTCCAGCATGAGCTTGATCCCTGGCCTCTGCCCCCTAGTCTTAATCCCCGTCCCGTGCATTAAGCCTGACTGAGGGAACCCGCATCATTTCGGTGTTCCACGTCCACTCAGTGCTAACAAGCTAGAAGCAGACTCATCCGACACCTGCAGCCAGCACCTCCTCCTGTCACCCGATCCCTAGTGCCGGGCTCAGCACTGCTCCTCATTCACTCCAACATTCATTGGTTTCCCTTCAAATCTCTTTCATGTGCATTCCCTCCTTCCCAGCCCCAACACCGCACCCTAGTGCTTTTTGCCCCTGCAATCTGATTTAGAACAACAACCTGGTAAAAACTGAAATGTCTTCTGCTGGAGGACTAGTTTAATAAGCCAGGAATAACCATACAATGGTGCACTGAAAGTCAGGAAACAAGAGTTAGGAAGCTCTATGGGCGCTTGAGGAATGATTTCCAAGACAGTTTATCAGAAGGAAAAAAGGAAGCTGTACAACAGGGTGTATGCTGTGCTCTCATGTGAGTAAAAAATAGGGGGCAGCTGGGCGTGGTGGTGCACTCTTGTAGTCCCTGCCACTTTGGAGGCTGAAGTGGGAGGATCAATGAGCCGAGAAGTTCAAGGCCAGCCTGGTAACACAGTGACATCACATCTCTAAAAAATTTAAAAAGAGGTTGAGCATTATGTGTGATCTTGTATAGGCATGGGATATCATTAGAGGGACATGCAAGTGGCTGGGTATGGTGGCTCACACCTGTAAATCTAGCACTCTGGGAGGCCAAAGTCGGAGGATTGCTTGAGGCAAGGAACCTGCAGGACATCCAGGAGAAAGATGTGATGGAAACAGTAGGGCGGCTTTTCAAGAAGGGCTGAGTTCGATGCATCAGAGTTCTCCGGCAAGATAATGACTGGGGCGGAATCCTTAGGGCATAGCAACTCAAGGGTTGCTGGCCACCAGGTGAAAGCAGTGTCAGAGGAGGGTAGGCACAGAGGCTGATGTCACCAGCCAAGGAGGGCATGGGCCCTGAGGGAGTAGACACAGAAAAGACACCAGCCCTGTCAAGAAGCAGCGCTGGAGAGGGTTGGGGTTTGAGAGAGGGTTGTTTTTATGTTTAAAGAAGGGAAAGTCTTCAGCAATCAAATCTGGGGTCTAGTTGAAAATGCATCCGGGTTACAGAAAGGTCCCTGACTAGAGCAGAGAGTCTGTGCAGGAAGCTGCGGCCGGACACGAGAAACAAGCCTGCCAAGGTGCTTCCCCTCCCTTCCCAGACCAAGGCCAGCGCCGCAGGTTCCACTTCAACTTGCTCCAATCGCCACCGCTGTCACCAGCTGCACTGCAGTTGGCATGTCACCTGACAGGGAACATAGGTACTGGCCCAAGAAACCCTTTCCCTGCCCCGCGACTGCTCCTGGCTGCCTGGGCTGCAAACAGCCCCAGCACGGGGTGTGATGACATCACCCTGCTCGCCCTGGGGATGAGACGCAGAGAGGATCACGAACTGTCTAGATGGCCTGTCCAGCTGGTTCTGAGAGCCACCGCAGGGGGCAGGGAGGCCTGCAGAGATGGGCCTGAGCCAGGAAGGAGGGTGTCTGGGGTGACAGGACCCCACTGCAGAATTGGGAATCTCTCCCACCAGCAACAAAAAGGCATTTTCTGTCTGCAAGATGGGGATTTTTGGTGGAAGAGAAGCTATGTTTTAGGTTAAGTGCTGGCTGTCTAGGCAGGGAAGGAAATCAAAGATAATGGAGGCAACTCTTGCTTTTCCGAGGTGGCATGTTTAACACTAATGAGGTTCCTGTGCTTGGTTTGCTCTCACAGCCCAGTAAACAGCTCTGGGGCCTGCAGTGTGTGAGACAGCAGCACAGCAGGGCAGGTAGCTCCAGGCAGTGCTGCCGTGGTAGGGAGGAAGTGACATGGAGTCCTACTATGTGCCTGTTGTGAGGGCCTACTCCGTGCCAGTGCCTAATGTGTGGGCACCCACTGATCCACACAGCAACCATGGCAGATGTCACTGTCCCTAATTCATAAAGGGGCACCCTGAGGCTGGGAGATCCTGGCCACCTGCCAAGGTCCGGTGCCTGCAAAGAGGCAGAGGTACCTCCCAGCCACCAGGCAGGTTGTCAAGGTCCTGCCAGGACCCTGAAGTCTGCCCTGGTGCAGTTCTGCAGGCTTGTTTCCTTTTCTGCAGGGGCAGCTGCATCCCCACCATAGACTGAATGCTTATGTCCCACCAAACTCATTTGTTCAAACTTAATCCCAGGGTGACAGTATTAGGAGGTGGGGCCATTGGGAGGTGACCAGGTCATTGGGTGGAACCCTCATGAATGCAACTGATGCCCTGATGACAGAGGCCCCAGCAAGCTCCACCACCTTTCAACCATGTGAGGACACAGACAGAAGAGCATACCTATAACCAGGAAAGGAGCTCCCCTCACCAGAACCTGATTGTGCCAGCCCCCTCATCTCAGCCTCCTGGCCTCCAGAACTCTGAGGAAGAACTTTCTGTCATCTCTGAGCCACCTGGTCTGCGGTTTTGTTACAGCCTCCTGCACAGACTAAGACAAGCCCCTTTAATGAGGAACCACCTGAGCGCTGGCCACAGCCTTGTCGAAATGGCTTTGAGGCCTGGGCCTGCTAGTCCCAGAGCTCTGGGAAGAAGGAACTTCCAGCTCTTCTAGGCCAGAAGTTCTCATGTGGTCCCTGGACCAGCAGGAGCATCTGAGACTTTGTTAGAAATGTAAATTCGAGCCTCATCAGAGAGTTTGGGATTCAGCAGGTCTTAGGGCTGGGCTCTCCTGGACGCTGCTGCTGCTGATGAGGATCTGGATGCACCCTGAGAACCACTGTGCTCAGAGAGCAGACCCACCCTCTGGGCAAACGTCATCGCCTTGCCAGGAAACGGGCCTCGAAGGCAGGACTAAACCCACAAAGGACAAGGCCCTGCTCCCTCCTCTCCCTGCGGGAGCTGAGACAGGACTCTCCATGACTTCCTGGGGCTGTCTGGGCAACCCCTCACCTTGTCCCCAGACCCCAAGGCCTAAGTCCTGGTGACAGTGCCCTGTCACTAGCCTCAGGCAACAATGAACCACAAAACCCAGACTTGGAACATTCCTCAGAGCCAACAGCTGCTGTGTCCACCACACCACCATTACCAAAAAGGATAAAGGACTCCAAGTCCAGATAAGCTGGAACCCTGGCTATCCCCTGGACATGCCCCCTGGTTTCCCATTTGTGCCATCCCTTCACCTTGAACCACCTCATGCCTGTCTCTGCCGGGATGCCTAGTGCTCAGCAGATCTCTCTGCCGGGACTGTCCCCTCTCCCTTCTCCTAGCCATTCCACCCCGTTTCCTCCCTGAACATCACACTCACTGAGGTTACACGTGACCCCTTCCTTCATTACCAAAGCCAGCAGCGCCTTGCAGACCTTATCTTATTTGATCTTTGTGTGCAAAATTTGGCTCTCTCGACCACTGGCACTGCAGTCTGTGCCAGGCAGACACCTTGAAACTCTCGGGAGCTGAAAACCTCTTCCTTCATCGTGGGGTTTGCTCAGGGATAGGATTTGAGCGGCAATGGCGAGCAGCTCCAGTGCCTGTTGCAGAGGTAGAGCGACAGTGCAGGAAGGAGCGAGTGTGCTCCCAGGACAGCGGCCCAGGAAGGATGTGGGGCTGGGCTGGGGGTTGTGTGGTGGGACGTTACTACGAGGGAGACGGAGCCAAGCTGGAGTGACTAACCCAGCGGACACGGCCAGGAGGTGGCTGCCACATCCACTTTGCTGGACTCCAGGCCCAGGGTAGGCGGAGGACAGGGAGAGTTGCTACTTCCTCCAGCAGAGACCAGTGGGACTGTGGCCCAGCAGGAAGCAGCCTGGATTCCAAAAATCACAGCAAGCTCAGAATTCCCCGGCTGAAACTGGCCAGAGGCCTTGGACTAGGTCCCTGTGATTTACGGAAGGAACAGAAAGAACTGAGCACTCGACAAAGTCACCCCTGCCTTGAGGACAAGGCCCGTGTGTGTGTGTGTGTGTGTGTGTGTGTGTGTGTGTGTGTGTGTGTGTGTCGTATGGGGGGAATGTGAATAAAACTCTGTGATTAGTAAGTCATGAGAAAGGGAATTCCGTGGCTGTGGAACACTTATTTTTAATCCTCCTGCATCTGGCCCAACACTGCTGAGAATGCCATTGGCCAACACATTGGCCAGGAATCTGTCCAGGGGCCAGGGCCTCCCAGGCGCCAGGAAATGGCTTGTGTTTGGCTGGGAAATGCTAAGGCCGGTTAATGATGAACCCACTCACTGTTATTTCTCTCTCTATTGAATAGTTAGTCTAAAAGTCTTTTGCCACCATTAAATGTTTTAAAATTATTGTTGTTATATAGGGAAATTTTCCTTTTCAGACAAGGCCTCACTATGTTGCCCAGGCTAGACTCCAACTCTTGGGCTCAAGGGGTCTAGCTGCTGAGCACCCCACATAGCTGGGACTACAGGCGTGTGCCACCACGCCCAACTTTTTGTGTTTGGAGGAAGGACATGATGTCACTGGTTCCTACTTACAAGAAGAGGAAGAAAACATCCCTTGCCTGGAAGTCCAGGGATGGAGGGGGCTGGTGCTGGCTCTGCCCTGACTCACTGGGTGATCATGGCCCACTCCCTGCTCCTCTCTGGCATTTGCTGGGACCATCACAATACAAAGAAGAGACCCAAAGACCCCTGGGCTCCCTCCTGTGACTAACGGTCTAGGAATTCATGGTTCTGAACGCTGTTTGGGGGCAAGAGGCAAGTAGCAGGTGTGCACATGTTCTGAACGCTGTTTTGGGGCAAGAGGCAAGTAGCAGGTGAGAGCATGTTCTTCCAGAAGGGGACAAAAGATGGAAGGAAACATAGCTCACTGGGGAGGGAGCAGACACAGCAGCAAGAAAAGTGACAGTTCCCTGCTGGAAAGGGAGAGAAGCGGGGTGGGGTCCCCATGGACATCAGCCGCATGGCCTGGCCAGCACCTCTCTGCCAGCTTCTGTGGCTAACTAGACTTTCACTTCCCTTTGGGAATCAGCGCACATGCCCGTCAAGCTGACCCATGCCCTGTGCCATGGACACCCCAGCACACCCTCAGCTGTGTGCGTTCCCACACTGTGTCCCCTTCCTGCCTAGCTCCGTGTGTCCAAATCTTTTCTGCCCTGGAGCTCCATGTCAAATGCCACCTCCTCAAAGAGCTTCCTCACTATCCCTTGTTGTAAACAACCTCTCCCTAGAGCCACTCCCCAGGCACTGTCCTTTGGACCTGTCTTACTGCACTTGAATCCAGCGGCCTGCGAGGGTGAACTGCAGCGTTGTGTGTGTGTATTTTTAAGTGTGAGGAGCTCCTGGAGCTTCTCTGTCTGGGCGGACACAAGAAGTCAGGCCGAAGCAGATCTTCGCTGCTCTCCCTGAAACCATGGGTGGCCTCCCTACTTGGTATCCAAATGTGGAGGGTGCAAGTCCCCATCACCCTAAGGCCATGGTGTTAGGGGACCTTTGGGGACTGACAGAGGCTGCCCCTCCCAATATCCTCTCTACACAGAACTAGTCTCAGAGACATGATGGCAAAATTTGTCCCTGGGGGCAAGAAAACTCTTTAGAAGATGGAACCAGTCCCCTTCCTTCTTCTTAGGGTGAGACTGTTAGAACCCAGTGATGGCCTGGATGTTCCCCACAGGACTGCTGGCACACAGATACTGAGGCTCCTAGGGGATCTTGCCAGAGGTCAGGGTCAGGGCAGGCAGGAGGGTCTGGACTCACGGGTGGCTCAACACCAGCCCAGAAGTCTGTGGCCAAGTCCATGGCTTAGGCTGACAGGACTCCTGTGCCCAGCAGGGTGGGGAGGCTCTGGGAACAGTGGCCAGAGCAATGATCAAAAGCAGAAACCTCTAGAACCTGTGCATGGAGTCCTGCACAGCAGTTCCATGGTCACAGTGGTCCAGAAGAGTCCAGGGCGGGCACCCCTGATTTCCCTCAGTGGGCGCCCGGGTCAGAGCTGAGTGAGCAGGGTCCCAGGTCTCTCTCTCTACCTGGGAAGTAGACCCCAAGCCGGGAGCAGCCTCAGGGTCTTAGACAGTTTTGGTGTGAGGCAGGTACAGGAGGACCACGCTACAGAGTTCTCACTAAAGATGACATTAGGCACTTAAGCAGTTACCTGGAGAGAGAAGAAACACAGCCACAGGCCGCCCAGGACAGTGTGGCAGGTCAAAGCAGCGGCACAGACAGGCCACACTGTTCTGACTTAGGACTCGTGCTCTGCCGTAAGACAAAACAGTCTCTGAAACAGACAGTGCCTTTGCCTCAATTTCACCTATCATAGTTTTCAGTGCATCAAATGCACAATAAAGTTTTGTTAGAAGGAAGGAATGAAAGAGGGACAGAGGGAGGGACTATGGGTCTAGAAAGATGCAGAGGAGGAGCTGTACTTGCAGCTGCATTAATAAGGGCGGGCTTCCTGGTGGAGGTGGCCTTGAGAGGCCTTAAAAGAAGAGGATGGTTTGAGCCTAAGTGTCCTGGAAACTGTTCACAGGCCCAGAGTCCCGGCAGCATGTCAGGGCTGAGGTCTCAGCAGGGGACCAGAACAGACCCCCACCCCTGCTCCTTGTCCTCAGCCTCCCAGCAATTCTATAACTTGGGGGTCATCTCTAAAGAAAAGAATACAGAAATATCTTACTTTTGCAAAGTTACCAAATATAGCAAAAACATATCACCAGCTGAACACACTGCTGGGCTCCTCCCAGTACCAGCCTCTGCCCGCAGGACTCCTCCCTCCCAGCCAGGCCAGGCCACCTTGTCCAGACCCCTTGCCAGCTGGAGGTGGCTGGACAGTGGCCACTCAAGGCCTCTAGGACCAATAGTCAAGCTGACCTGAAAGGCAAAGACACTGTCGACCAGATTCTCTCCAAACACAAAGGTGGAGCCGGCCCTGGTATAGTTCAGGAAGATCTGAAATTAAAAAACAAAACAAAACAAAACCAAAACACGGAGTGAGGCTAGGAAGGGAGGAGGCAGGGACTAGTGGCTGGAAAACCAGGCTGGGTGAATTGGAGGGTCCATGAGCACCCCACAGCCAGGGACCAGTGCAGGTACAAAAGGGGGACACCAGGCCCAGACAGGTTGGCCAGGGACGTGGTCCCCCTGGCCCTTACCAAGAGTGGGGTGCCACCTGGCTGCATATGTAAAGCCACAGTCCTGAGCACTGGCTCCTTCTGAACACATGCTCCAAAAAGATACCTTTTCATTGAATTTTAAGGAAATACTCTGAGATGGACGTTGTTAGGACAATACAGAAAGGACCATGAGGAAGCAAGACAGGAGATGTGTGGCGAAGGCTGTCAAAGGTGGTGCCTCTTATGCCTGCCCAGTCCCCTGACAACCAAGGGCACAGCCTTCTCTCATAGCGTCCCTGCCCTGGGCTCATGGACTGGGCATTCAAGTCCAGCCACACTTCTACGGGAGATCAGTGTTAGGTCCCGACTTGCAGTGTGATTGCAAGGACAAGTCACTTCTCTCGTCCAGGACTCAGTGTTCCAGTCTGTAAAGTGGGGAGGTGACCAGAGCAGCAACTCTCAGTCTTTTCCTCCCCATACCCACGGGTGCTGGGGTGGGGCCAGGGGGCGGACACAGCCGGGCAGGCAGGACGGCCAGTTCCACCCAAACAGGGCATGCATGCAAACCGGTGAGCAGGAGGCGAGTGGAAGGTTATACTCATGCCCTTGATAATTTATGTTTCCAAGAGTGTTAAATTTACAGGAGGCCGTTGGTTTAACCGAGCTCCTGCAGGGGGCCCAACAGACCCACCCAAACGGAGTCACTCGTGCTCCGGTTCCACGTGTCCACGAGGAACCACGTTGCTGCTCGGCCCCCCGCACACTCGGGAGAGGGAGAGATGCCAGCCAGTCCACACTGGCAGGGCAGGGGAGTCCCCTCTGTTTCATCCCTTGCAGGGAAGGTAACTGTGAAACCTGCAGCCACCTCTTGTTTTCTGCTTTCTTCAGCCTCTTCCCTCTTTCCAACCACACCCTCTGCTCAGTCCCCGGAATACTTCTTCCAGCCTGCAGAACTAGCTGTGCTCCGATTCTAGAATTGCGGATAAATGCCTATTAAGCTCATTAAACTAAATCTGCTGTAATCTTCTCTTTTGACAATAGTAAGTCATGATGGGAGCACAACAACATGCATGAATTTAATGATACTTAAAAATGGTTAAAATTGTAAACTTTATCTTATTTGTATTTGGCAACAATGAAAAATAATAACTTTAATAAAAGTTATTTTTAAATTTACACACACAGAATAAATTTTTTACAATTTTTGTTTTTAGCTCTTTAAACTATTTTAAGTGCCAAATCACTGATGACCACCGCAGGCCCCGTGGCATGGTCAGGTACCCAGAGACTTTCCTGTCTGGGATTTTCTTCCACAGAGGACCCAGCCTCTGAAAGGACACTCTGTCCGGCCTGGCACTACCTGGTCTGGGGCCCCATTCACACCCACCCGCCTAGTCCCTGCTCTGTGGCCTCAGCACCCACCTCCCTGCAACCGAGTGGCTTCTCCCACATTCCCTGGCAGCCTAGGATGTCCCATGTACACACCTGGATCTGGTCTCCCAGCCACTGGA